GTTCTCTGATGCAAACTGAGTTTTCCTCTAGGTGAATGACTTTCCATTTATTTTATTCATAAAATTTTTCACGAGTGTGAATTCTCTTATGCTTGTTGAGATGTGAACTCTGGATGAAAGACTTTCCACATTTGTTACATTCATAAGGTTTCTCACCTGTGTGAATTTTCTTATGCCTATTGAGGTGTGAACTCCACTTGAAAGTCTTTCCACATTTGTTGCATTCATAAGGTTTCTCTCCTGTGTGTGTTCTCTGATGTGAAGTGAGGGTTGATTTGTGCCTGAAAGACTTTCCACATTTGTTACATTCATAAAGTTTCTCTCCTGTGTGTGTTCTCTGATGCAAAGTGAAAGAAGACTTCTGTCTGAAAGATCTATATTTGTTACATTCATAAGGTTCCTCACCTGTGTGAATTATCTTATGCTTGCTGAGGTGTGAACTCTGGGCAAAGGTTTTTCCACATTTGTTACATTCATAAGGTTTCTCACCAGTGTGAATTCTGTTATGCATGCCAAGGTGTGAACTCCACTTGAAGGTCTTTCCACATTTGTTGCATTCATAAGGTTTCTCTCCTGTATGTGTTCTTTGGTGCAAAGTGAGGTATGACTTCCCTCTGAAAGCCTTACCACATTTGTTGCATTCATAAGGTTTCTCTCCAGTGTGATTTCTCTCATGCAAAGTGAGGTCTGACTTCTGTCTGAAAGTCTTTCCAAATTTGTTACATTCAAAAGGTTTCTCACCTGTGTGAATTCTCGTGTGTCTCTGGAGGTTGGTTTGCCTTCCGCGTGAAGGACTTTTCACATGTCTAACATTCATAAGGTTTCTCTCCTGTGTGTGTTCTCTGATGGACAGTAAGATGTGTCTTCCGGGCAAAAGATTTTCCACATGTGTTACATTCATAAGGTTTCCCTCCTGTGTGTGTTCTCTGAAGCAAAGTGAGGTATGACTTCTGTATGAAAGACTTTCCACATTTGTTGCATTCATGACGTTTCTCATCTTTGGGAGTTCTCTGATGCCTGCTGAGACCTGACTTCTGGGTGGAAAATTTCCTGCATCCCTCATATTCAAAGGGTTTCTCATCTATAGGTGATTGAGGTTGGAAAGTCAAGTCTGACTTCTGAGAGAGAGATTTTGTACACTGCTTATACTCATCGGACTTCTGTGGATATTTGCTCTCAGGTTTTCTAATGTGCATTTCCTTATTGAAAGAGTTCTCACATTCATTACATGTACAAGGATTCTCTCCTTTGTACATTTTCTCATGTGTAGTGACTACAGGTCTTACGTAGAATGTTTTTCCACATAAAGTACATTCAGGTGTTTTCCTCCCTCCTTGAAGTATCTCTTCGGCAAGGAGAGCAGACTTATCATAGTCTTCTCTATATTCACTATGGTTATAGGAGGTCTCTCCCATACAGACCCAATTATGTCTAAAGAATATAGTCTCTGAGTTTAATACCTTCCCTTCTCCACCAAATTCAAAATACTGCAGCTCATTTGGACTCGCATAATTTTGACTAAAATACTCAGAATATCTGAAGGATTGTTCAACTACAGGAGACACACCAGGTGTATATGCAGCATGCATCTCATCAGGCTCACTATAGAGAAGTATGTCCTGACACTCAGTGCTCATCCCTAAAGAGTTCCCATTATTCCTCATCAGCTCAAGCTTATGAATTGAGCCCAAGTTAAAAGTTGTTATCAATCTCACTCTTTCTTCCACTGGGTTACTAATTGTGACTGCTACTTCACACAGACATTCATCTGGACCTTCCTGGCAGGTCTTAATCACCTCCTCCATTTCTTGGACATCTAAAATGTGTCAAAGAAAAAAACCCACAAAAACATAAATGAGATCAAAGATTCCTTAATGTAAAGATGAAGACATTTTCTCCCATTCTGTTACAGATTTTCAATTATCAAAATAGGAATTAATTTATGATACGTGATTTCTCCCTAATGTATTAATTAAAAAATAATGCTGATATTTAGCAATGGAAAATGTTTTTCTGTGTTTCAGTTTTTCTTTTTATATCAGAAGAAATATTTACTCAAATTATTCAACTAAGTACTGTGAAAGTTTTAAGCTGAACACTTAAAATTTGCCTTTAGTATTCTTGGGGTTGTTTCAAATATTGTTTTGTTTGACCATAGGGGAATAGCTGCTTTGTGTTCTTTAATTTTCTTGAAATAATTTATATATTGTGCTGCTTTGCTTCTCAACCATTAGGTGAGGAACTGGAATATTTTCTAGATTTGGAGACTATAATTGTGTTTTATATATTCCTTTGCCTTTCACCTAAGCAGGGATGGTTCCTGACAGTAGGCATTAATACCTACATCTCTTCAATTCTAACTTCTCATAAGAATTACTTTAAGTATCTGTGGGAATTTTAAAG